AACGACAGAGCAACTTGTTCGTTCCAGAACCACGACGGCTATTTCCACGGCGCCCCAAATATTCGCCAGCAGTCGCCCCGTCATGACGCGCGGACACACTAACGACAACGAGCCCGCCGAGGCCACGCGCTCCCACGCGCCCCCGTCGCCGCTTCTCAGCATGGGTTAATTATTAGCGATCCCTGCCGTGTCCGTCAGTAATTACCCCTGAGGGCCGGCAGCGCGGCCATCACCAGGTCAGCGTCCTCACTCGCTGGCAGGGCACTTCCCGGTCCGGAAGCTGGTGCAGTTTCATGAACCGCTGAAGAGAGCGTGCGGAGACGCTCCGGTCAAACACTTGGCGCGCTAAGTTTGGCGCGGGACGGAGTAGCGCGCCGTTTATTGCCTCGCTTATTGGACGCCCGGCAAAACTTGTCCGCGAGCAGTCTGTTTGCCGGGTGCTAGAGAGGCGGAAGGATGTGGGCGCGATTTCAAGTTGGAAAGAAAACACTTGATTGGCAGTGTGATATATCTCAACCCGGCGGATGTGTGAATTGGGACGGCATTTTGCCAACTTCTAGAGTCGCCGCGCTTGAGTACGCCCAGACGTTTTCATTGCAGGCAAAGAAGCAGGCAACTGGTAGAAATGCAAACCGATGCGCCTGTGGTTCGCATACGGCTCGGATGGGACGACACAAGTTTGTTTTGTGTAGAACACGCAGAATAGGCGGCTTAGTTTGCTTCCTGACGGTTTTGCACGGACGCGGCATATGGAGGTAATGTGCTTTCATCTGGACACGGCTCGTTGATAGTGGAGAAAGCTTACATTAAGTCGTCTTCACCTGTCGTCGGATTCTCGCCTTTTTTAATAAAGGGTTGCAAATCACGCCTCCCGAAACCATAAGTATGTCACGCAATCGACACAGGATGTTATAGCCATGACATCACGTTTCGTAATGAAAATAGGAAAAACGATGCTCCAAAAATATCGATGCGAGCAGCATTTTCGCAGGACTCAATAATCTTGAGCGATACAAGTATCACCCTCGCTGACGGCACACGGTCGCTAAACAACCACCTACCACGTTATACAAAACTTAGTCGATTATGGATCGACTGCTTATCCCGACGAAAAAGGCAGGCTTCTAGGACGCTGAGTTGTCTTCGTCCAGCACATGATCGTCTTAGTGAGGCCCTGGGGCATGATTCGGCGTTTATGGATAACCAACACGTCACGCTCAGGAGAGCCGTTTCTTTTGTGCATGGTGCATCTTCTGAGTAAAGCAGTCATGACGAGATTGGTACACTATTTTGCGATTTCGCGATTATTTCGCGAAGCAGGCGTCCTAAGCTGAGGCAGGTGAACCGGTACAATGCATTGATCCGCTTTGGTTTTTCTCTGCCGCTCTCAGGTCATTATCCATCATTAGATGGGATGATTTCGTGGCGCTTTACTTGTAGCGTATTCACTGACGAAACGATCGGTTTTCCTTTGTAAATGGACGTTAACAAATTCTGAGCGTGTCTTTCCGCCCATCGGTATGAGGGCTGAGGAGTGCAATACAGCTGATGGTACATTGTAAGACCAAAGGTATCACACCGTGCATGGATGCCGTAAAGGTCCAGTACTGTTAGATACATTTGGCTCCCTCAGCAGAGTAAGAAAGCTCTAAATACATGCATGAATAAAATCGTAGATAAATGCCTTGCGTGCCTAAATCGTTCAATACCCGCCTTACTGTACATAATAAGTGTTGTTTAGCCACATTTTTTCGTCAGAAAATGTCACCACGGGACGACTGAATGCCCGATGTACATCACGTGGTGCTCAACATCTTTTGTCCCCGGAAAATGTCTTCATTCCTGGTCAGTGATCTTTGGTGCCAGAGTTCTTTCCGACAGCCAACGGGCGGGAACATCGCAGAGATGACACTTATGACAGGATATAGTATTAGGCTTGATCATATCTCCCCGCGTAGTCATGCTTTTCTAGTTATCGTAAAACACGGCCCATTTGTTCGCATGAATGTTCGATCACACAGTAAGTCTAGGACGACGCGCCATTTCTGTCTGCATCATTACTAGTGCGGCGGGAATAAACGCTGAACAACTATTGCGGAACCTATATAACATATCATACATTTGTCGTGTAGCATGGATTTTATTTCGCTAAGCAAATCCATTGCTGTTTTTGGTGTTGTATGTACAACCGTGCTGGAAGACATGGGTCTGCGCAAGATAATCGAGTCGGAGTAAGTCCAGTCTGAGAAAGAGCGAGTCAGAGTCCGAGTCCGGGTCCGGGCCCGAGCCCGAGCGTGAGCCCAATTCCTGACGTAACACGTCTACAGCCCAAGTACAACATTTCCGCATTCCAGTAGAAAGGGTTTGATTTCCAGTACTGGTGCACCGAGTCTCGAGTTTGAGTCTGGACCCACTATGTTCATGTCACTAGAATCCGATTCATGCATTGTGATTTTGGGTCCCAGTGCAAGCCCGGTGCCCAGATGTATGGTCTGAATCCCAATGCATCCAATGCTACCATGAGTTCTTCTCCGCTTAGTTTGAGTCCCCATCAAAGTTATTAGTATATAAGTTATTTTTATCTGTATGTACTCGTTGCGGATAAGGAGTCGACGTTGTATTACCGTTTCCAGTCTGAATCCGAGCTGGCATGACTCGAGTCCGATCTGAGGCTTCCAGTCTGAATCCGAGCTGGCATGACTTGAGTCCGATCTCAGTACAAGTAACCGGTAGTCTGAAAAGGGACCGGTCGTAGATACCCCATCCTACTTATACTGTAACAGTGCTGTAACAATGCGTCGAGTAACGTCCAAGGGAAGGTCAAGATTTGGCTGGAACCGACTTCGGTGCCAGCACCCCATGTACTCGATGCAGGCGGACGCTACATGATGCCCTCAAAGTTTACCCACATCGCAAGATTTCACGCTTTGCTCCAATACCACCAGTGTTTACCTAATGATGTCTGCCGGCACCGTGGTAACATGATATTATATATAGCTGTCTCGTATCAGCACAGCTGGCAAAAGGCAAAGTAATGATTCCGTGGCTTTAGAGCTATAAGCTGGCTTCATTTAACTGATATTTTACGGATAGGTTTCCAAGGTTAACGTAGTGCACTGAGTCCTGAGGCCATTTCCGTCAAAATGGTCTACAAACTTGCACGCTCTGCATTGATTGGCAGGATAGCAAAAACATCCTACGCTTTCCACGCTTACGGTCTGGCGTTCTCGCGTTTAGCATTTGCCGTACTAACCCAATAAATTAGATGCTTTTTGGCAAAGTGGTGAGCCGAATTCAGCAGCTTACCTGAATTTGCCAGCGTTAGATGCCTTTACACATGTCATGCCACTTGCTGTCTCCATATGAAAAACGCTCAAAGTTCAATTTCCAATATACAAACTCGTATCATAAGAGACATTTGCACATTCCAGCAAATCGCCACAAAATCTTTTCGCAAAACCCTACACCTGTAATGGCACGCCTCGATTGGTTGAGTTTCCAGGGCTCTGTCTGCGTTGAAATCAAGGTTCCGTTGAGATGGTTCATCTGGTGGCAATAACAACCGTTTGCACTTGCCTAGATTGGGGACAGCAATATTGATAAAGTCTGCGTGCAGCAAACAAATATTGTGATCACCCGGCATGATCGGCCGCCGCGTGGCAAGCAGAGCGTGGGTGGAGGCCACTACAGACCAGTTGGGCATGACGCTGCGACATCGGGTACTGTACAGTCATCATCGTATGTTAGCCACGCCGGGCCGACACTCAACGCCACCCACTGCATGGTTTCTCGATGTGATGATGCGCAAAGTAGAATGTGACACTTTTCAAAGGCGAACAAACGTCACTTAATACTGATGGTTTCATTTGACCTCATGTCATAATCACATGTTTTAATATTATCATAATAAACACATAAATATCAAAATGGCCTCATCTTGTAATCATATTTTTAAGTTCTGGAAAATCGTACAATGGCTTGGTCTACACGATCACCGGCAAACCTTCTGGGCTTTCCTTGGCCGACAGATGCATGGCCCCGCATCAAAGAGCTCTGCAGCTGACAAGTCCGCGCGCTGTCAAACACAGCCTCCACATCGCCCAGTCGTTCAGTGAAATCAAAGTATTTCCCAGTTCAAAGGTGTAGGATCAAACACAGCGTATAGCGAAGTGAAATGAGGTGTTTGCGCAAGCCTCGCCCAATCAATGGTTTTTGAACATGTCTGCCGCAGGGTTACGACGACGGAGTTCGTAAATAAGCTGCGTACAGTTGACACAGCGGCTCCCCCTGAGTGTCGCATATGCGTCCAGCCAGTATCGAAAATACACAGCTTCCAAGCCTGCGCCCAAAATTGAGAAATCATCGATCGGATACATTCCGTGGCCCTGGCCCTTCCGCGACCTTCAGCAAAGCTCGCCATAAACGAACGTTGCTTGCTGCCAAGAAAGCTACGACCTTTGCTCCACGCGAGGCCTCCCACCGATTGGGCTAGGACAGTGACCTTCGAACTCCTCGCTCTCGTAGATTGCATTTGGACCGCTGGGAGTCGCTGAATATTCGATAGATTCATACCTAAACTCAGGTTGGCCCTCAAGATTGGACGCATTGTGATGGTCAAATTGGATTATGCGTCACGCAGAAATTGTCCAGCAGATAAGCGATTCTGATAAAACAACTACGCCATACGTATCACCTACCAGCGTGCCATGCTTACGTTTATATGCACCAAACTACTTACAAATCCGTTACATGTAAATTTGTTAAATAAAATTTACCCTAACATTGGATGGTTACATCAACTCTACTGACGTCACTGCAAACAACTAGCAAGATGGCTTCAAGTGTTCAGTTCCATCCGTGTCAATACCAGGCGCCCAATGTCTCATGGCGTATGCAGACGCAAGAGAGCCAGCGCGTCCCGCCAGCGCGCGTCCTAAGCACAAAACCACGCGCTTCACGCGCCGCGTGCGCGCCCGACCAGACGTCACCGCCGGCCTCACCTGATTTGCCCTTGTCCTTCCAGTTGCGCACCAGCTTTCGGCCGAGGTTGATGTTGACACTGGCCAGCATGGTACCGGCCCGAGCGTCGACCACCGACTGACGGGCGGCCGTCTCGCGGCTGGCGCTGCGGGGCCGCCGCTCGCGCCGCCGCGCCCGCTGCGACGGCGCCCGCACGCTCAGCGACCGGAACAGCGGCCAGAACCTGAGGTCAGCCGGAGTCAGCGGGGTCAGGCGAGATCAAGCGGGGTCAGAAAGGGTAAGGTTCGGTCGAAAGGGTCACGTTCAGGTCAGGCAGGATCATGTGAGGGCGGCAAGGATTAGGCAGGATCAGAAGAGGTCAGGAAACGTCAGACGGGGCCGGGCAGGACCAGGTGGGGTCAAGTTGAATCAGACGGGGCTAGACTGACCAGGCTGGATCAGACGGGATCGGGCCGGACAGGCTGTACCATACGGAGTCAGGCGGCGTCAGACGAGATCAGGCGGGGTCGGACAAGGTCAGGATAAAAATGTGTCATAAGGGGGCCGGGTGTAATCGGACAGGGCCAGCGGGGTCATGTGCGACCAGGTAAGGTCAAGTGGGGTCAGGCAGGATCAGGCGGGGCTGGGTGGGGTCAAATAGTGCTGGACGGAGTTAGACGGAGTTGGACAAAACCGAGCGGGGTCAGGCAGGGTCGGGAGTTGGCGGTGTCAAACAGGATTATATGCAACCCTAAATAACAGACTGGGGCAGGAAAAGCGAACCGAAATCACGCCAGGACATCTAGGATCAGATAGGGTAACATTGGGCCAGGCATGGATGAGGTCAGGTACCGCGCCAGGCGCACTGATGTACAAAGGGGCCGTGGAGACATGGGGCCACACTGAGTCAGTAGTTCCAGGCAGGACGATGTGGGGCGAGGAAGGACGATAAGCCGCAAACTGATTAATACCAATTCAAAGAGGGTTAAATAGGCTCAGACAAACGAACCGGGCAAATTAGTGAAGCCGGATGCAATCTGGCCAGGCAAGGTGATGCCCACGATGACGATGATGCAGACGGTGATCTAGAGCGAGGTAAGAATGGGGGGGGGGGGGGAGGGGGCGGCGTAATGGCCGGGAGATTGGCACCTTGGACTCTCACATGGAGCCGCGAAAGTGGAAACAAAGTACGACAGACTATCTCCGTTAGGGCAAAATCAAAGCTTAGCATTTGTCTGTGCCTGCTAACGCTTACAGCTTGTGTGTAGCATACGTTGAAATATTGGAGTCGTGCTATATGGACAAGTTGGGCCACAAAATGCTTCCTGGCTTAGTAGCTTCAATCAGGATAATTTTAGCACGCGGCAGAACTATACTGCAAACTATACTATATCAGTGCGGATGTCACAGATCATTGGTGACCAATGCCCTTTACATCAGTACTTTTCTCAGATTTTTCAGCCAAGATTCTTTTCACATACTGAACAGCATAAAAACCGAATAACCAAGCTTATTACTAGTTGCAAGAAACGCGATTGGCCCGGGCTCCACGTGAAAAACGTGATCAGTCTGCTATGCGGCGTTTTAAAGCGTCGTGCCACTTGCGACAAATGGTTTTGACGGCTCGCCACTCGGTTGTGAGCCGGACTCAGTGCAAGACTGTAGGCCGCCGTTGGTTGCGTCCGTGCCGTGAGAGTTGTGGTCGTGCGCCCACTCGCTACCACTCTACAGCGGTGATTCGGTAAGGAGCATTCTTATTTAGATCGTTCTTAGTCTTAAGTTCACTGCAGCTAACGCAACGGCGTCCGGGAGAGGACTAGCCCGATGACCAGAGCCGGACGCTGCCGGCAGCGGCACTGTTTGTCGGTGTGCGGTCGCATGGCTGTAAACATGATTTGTCGGTGTGCGGTCGCATGGCTGTAAACATGATTTGTCGGCGTGCGGTCGCATGGCTGTAAACATGATGCCGACGATGCAAGCAGCGCCCTTCTCAGCCCGGCTGGCTGACCCAGCTTCGATGGATGGCACCACAAAGCACACGGGCTTGAAATGCGTAGAAAATTTTCAGTTTCCTTACGGTGCAGCGTGGCTCTTCTAAGGATCTACCGTGGGGGGGGGGGGGGAGAGGGGGCGTCCTTGGTAACATCATCAAAAACCCTGCTGCTCTAGGAAGTCTATGGTTTGAACCTACCCCAGCCGTAGCTTCAGAGGATCAAAGGATGAGGTTGGAGTGACATATTTCAACAATTCATCCGGATTTCCTGTTACTAAGAGGAACAGCGACTTTGGGGTAAGAGGCCGAGTATCGCCGGCGTAGGCCTCTGACACTGCCCCTCGTATCTCAGATTTAGCGAACTGACCGGCTGACAGGTGTGGGATGTCATAATATTGTGTATAGAGCTACATGAAGATACCAGAGATGTTGCAAAATGTATTCCTTTGCATCTGCAGATGCCAAGATTGCAAACGTTTTGCACTAAGTTATATTCATTGCAAATTTGTTAGGGAGCGCGAGGCCTGAACCTGTAATATCGGAAAGTATGCGGAGACAATGAAGGTTGGCAGCGCTTCCAGCTGATTGTACGCTGACGTCATATAGCCAAAAGTGATACCTTTTCAGATGCTTGTGGAGCCATGTTAATCGGTAGATGTTGGGCCACATATATAAAATAAAAATTAAGAAATGAATGGGACAATGGCTGCATATGTCCCCTGAAAGGCAATTAAAACAGCGTTTTCCCTGATATTATCTACCTTTTTTTAATTAGAAGCAGGGGCGTGGTTTAAAAAAAAAACTTGGGGGGCGGGCTGGGACCTAACAGTGATGAATGATGAAAAGTGATGAATAAAAATGATAACTTAAAGTAGGAAACTACATCCCTGCCTAGGCGACACAATCCCCAACTAGATAAGACACTACATCTCTCAAGTGCTAGTTATGTTAAGTATGCCCTAATCTGATAACTGTAGCATATTGGCTTGATCAACATTCAGTGTTTGATGGATTGTTTTATGTTACCCAGTCCCACAGGTGCCCTGGGTCAAACCCAAACAGATGGTGATGCTTTTGAAAAAGCCCAAACCGTGGTTACCTGACAGTGATGACTTTTGAAGAAGCCAAAACCATGGAGAACTGGTAGCCTTTGCTTGATGGCAGTCTGCCTGCACACGCACATCGCATGCGCACGCGCAGACGCAGAGGCACACTCGCACGCACGCACGCACGCACGCATGCACGCACGCACGCACGCACGCACGCACGCAAGCACGCACACACACGCGACACACAACACAACACAACACGCGCACGCGCACGCGCGCGCACATACACACACACACACACACACACACACACACACACACACACACACACACACACACACACACACACACACACACACACACACACGCGCGCGCGCGCGCGCGCGCAACGAGTATTTGCGAAGGCAATCGGTTGACAAACCGCTGCATTTCAGTTTGGAAGTGATAATCCTCCTGCTGCACGTGGCGTAGTCATGGACATCAATCTGTCAGGGATGTGGTCAGGGTTCATTCAACGAGCCTAAAATTAATCTCGGACCAAAACAACCGCTGAAAGTGGACAAAGTGTTGACGTGTATTTCGTGCCATCTGAGAGTCCACCAAAGCCTATAAATTGTCTCAACCATCACATCACATCCCATGAATCCCCCAGCTTATGGTGATGCTGGATCCCTTGGCAACTTTGAAGCCAGACAGTTTTTAACCTTTGAATAGCATGGGATTGTTGTTAAATTTTAAAAATTGTGCGTCTTTAGGCTTTATTCGTGCGCATGCGGTGCATATATATTTGTCATCGCGTGATGTCTGCTAGATCTCTTTTGGGGCATACACGAGTGAAAGTCTAACTGCATGATGAGCATGCCAAACATGATGTTTGGTCACGGATCATGCATAACCCGCGTCCTGATTCGCCGTTTTTCATAACGTAGACTGATGGTGGGGGGACGGGGGGGGGGTCGATGCAACTCCTCCCATGACGTTTCAAAACTATGGTAGATACAGTCACGCGAATAAAAAAAAACAGCAGAATGGTCTCAACTAGATCTCGTGACTGGTGGGAAGTTTTATATTTCTAGATAAAACAAAGCATGTCAACGGTAAAACTCTACTGAAAATCGAACATCACTAGTCTTCCATGCTCGTATATCCGAGGTCATGCCCGCAGTGACACGAAATCTCATTGGCGTGTTTCTTTTTATTATGAGTACAGCGGTGTGCAATGTTATTTGCTTTGAACATATATTTATCACGTGGGGCTCCGTTAAAGGCAATGCTCCACACTTGAAGTTATTGAAGCGAGCATCACCTATGATAGAACCAAGCCCGCTTAGAACGATTGGCATACTTTTTAAGTGGAAAAGACTTCTCTAGATAGCACAACTCCCTGTTTAGTATATATGCCCCTCATTGCGTCATGGTTGGTTACGTCATCGTACCTTGCACAACATCGATTGAGAGCCAATTGACAGCCGGTATATTTGGGAATCGCGCTCACGAGCGCCAGGAATGAACGCCTCGACAATTATATTTTTCTGGCCTTGATCGCCGCATGGCTTATGGAATGGCAGGATTTGAATGACGTTACTATGACGTCACCAACGCCGAGGTGAATTTGAAATACTTTTCCCGATGTCCCTTTTCCCGTTTTCGCGAGCGTATAGCCCAGAAAATGCAGGGGCTTAAGTCTTGAGAAGAGCAGGATTGTGAACAGCACCGGAAGGTCTTCAAAATGGCTATTTCAGTCAAAAGCCCCAAGAAGATGTGAAACAATTCCCTTAAGGTAACAGTGTCGCACCGCCGCCCTCGCCGTCCTCAGGCACCGCCGCTGTGCCTAAAAAACATAGCTCAGAGCTGGGGACATGTGAAAACGCTCACAATTAATACCCCAGAGTGAATCGAAAAACCATGCGCAATTGCACGACATGCCGGAGAGGTATCCTCAGAAAACCTCAGGGAGTTGTCCACGCCCTCTCCCAGAGTGAGGGTTAACATGATTGTTATAGGGCGATTGCCACTCCACTAAATGCTTTGTTACGTGTTGGAGCAATAAATCCTCAGCAAGCTCCATGGACGTGATCCT